AAAAAAAAAAAAAAAAAAAAAAAAAAAAAAAAAAAAGCAAAGCATTCAAAGGAATACACAGAAGAAAGTCCGACTTCCAACTGCAGACCCTCAGTCTCCAGAGACAACCACTGTTCTCTTCCAGACAGTCATTATACCTACCTGTCTTTGACACACCCATGGCAGCAAGCACAACTACGTGACCTGGCCCATCTGCAAATTCCCAGTCTCCCATCATTTCCTCCTTGCCTGCTCCCTATGGGCCATGCTGGCCTCCATATATTCCCTCAAGCAAGCTCGGCATGTCCTCCACTAGGGCCTTTGCACCTGCTGTTTCTTCTCAGCACCCTCTTCCACCAGATATTTGCACAATTTTTTCCCTCACTTCATCCTTGTCTCTGTTTAAATATCACCTCATAGACAGACCTTTGATTATCCTACCAAAAATAGCAGTCCCCATCATTCTCTGCCCTGTACCCTGCATTAACTGGCTTCATATTACTTATCAACAGTTCAGATTATAGAGCTATGCTTTAAATTCATTTATCATCTGTCTCCTTCATTAAAATGTAAGTTTCATGAGAGGAAGGATTTTATCTGTCTTGCTTACCATTAAACCCCCAGCACCTGGAACTGTGCCTGCCTGGTATACATAGCAGGTGTTCAACAGACATTTGTTATATGAAATGAGTAAGTGAATGAGTCCGTATTTCGCTTTGCATTTGAAAATGCCAGAAAGCCCCATTTTGGCCACGCTTCCAGGACAGTACCATCGAGAACCAAACCTCCTGAGTGAGGAGCACCAGGTTTGCTGAGACAATTCCCCTCAACTTTTGGCTCCTGGCAGGGTGACCAATCAGCAGGGTTTGCCTGAGATTGAGGAGTTTCCTGGGACACAGGACTTTTCAGAGTTAAAAGTAGGGGAGTCCCTGGCAGCCCAGGACAGTTGGCTGCTGCCCCATTGGCAGCTATCTTGAGCTCACAGCCAGTCAGCCTCTGCCTGATGCCACACACCAGTGGTCCACCCCCAGTGACACTTCAGATGACATGTGTGGGTCAAGCAACCTGCCAGCAAATGTTTACTAGGTTAACAGTCACAACATTCTCCAGTAGCTGGAGAGCAGGGAAAGGAAGCACAATAATGAATAAAATAAATATAGTTTCTGTCCTCAGGAAGCTTACAGTTTAATGAAGGAGACTGATACACAAAGATGCGATTTCAATATAAAATTTAATACCTCTCTAAACTGCCTTCTCTAAAAATCCTGAATCAGCAACTTTTCTCTATCTTGGGTGTAACAATTTTAGCTGAATCAATCTGACCCAAATTGAATTTTTCCTAAAATGAACTTTTCTTCTGATAAAAATAAAATGTAGTGTGGTAGGTTGAAGAGTTGCTTCCAAAGATATCAGACCCTAATCTCTAGAACCTGTAAATGTTACCTTATTTGGAAAAAGAGTCTTTGCAGGTGTGATTAAGTTAAGGCTTTTGAGATCAGGAGATTCTCGTGGATTATCCAGGTGGGCCCTAAATCCAGTCACAGGTATCCTTAAAAGAGGGAAGCAGAAGGAGATTTGACACAGACAGGAGAAGGCAGTGTGACCACGGAGGCAAAGATGGGAGTGATGCAGCCACAAGCCCAGGCATGCCAGCAGCCACCAGAAGCTGGAGGAGGCAAGGAACAGGTTTCCCCCTTGAGTCTCTGTAAGGACCATGGCCCTGCTGACACCTTGATTTCAGCCCAGTGAAACTGATTTCAGACTTCTGCACTCTGGAACTGTGAGAGAATAACATTCTGTTGTTTAAGCCACCAAGTCTGTGGTAATTTGTTACAGCAGCCTCATGAAACTAATACATGTACTCGAAGGAAATAAAAAGCACCTGCTATCCCACCACCCAGACATAACTACTATTAACCTACTCACATGTGAAGCATTAAAAGAAGCAATCTGTCCGGGCTCCCCAGCACCAAATATGAACACTGGCATCATTTCCTATTTCGTTGCCTATACTGCTTTTTTCCATTTAACTATATATTGTGGACAGCAAATAGTCTTCAGAAATATGACTTTTCACAGCTACACAGGATTGAAAACAGTAGATTTATTATCATTTATTTAACCCATCCCTTAGTGTTAGACGTGTAGATACTCCCCAGTTTTGTTATTGTAATACGGCAGTGAAATATTTGTAAATCAATTATTTGTGTGCGCATCTGATTATTATCTTAGAATGGAGTCCTAGAACAGAGTTACTGTATTAAAAAATATGAGCATTTTAGGACTCTTGATAGTAATTTCAAATGACTTTCTGCAATGTCCAGCCAATTTACACTTGCAATAGAAAACTATGAAAGAGCCAGTGTCACCACAGGCTAGGCAGCATGAAATACTAACATTTAAAAAATGTTTCTTTAATATGCAAATATATTTTTCTAATACATTTATATTTTTTAAGTTGGTTTTTATTTATTTTTAAAAATTAATTAATTAATTAATTTACTGGCTGCGAGGCTTGTGGAATCTTAGTTCCCCGACCAGGGACTGAATCTGGGGCCTCGGCACTGAGAGAGCAGAGTCCTAACCCTTGGACTGCCAGGGAATTCCCCATTTATACCTTTTAAATAATTATATTTCTTCTATGAATTGTCTGTTGAGGTTCTTTGCTCATTTGTTTTTCAGGGTTTTTCAGGGTGTTGATAGGTAGGAGTTTTATATAATTAAAAATATTAATCTCCTGTCATCTTTATTGTAGATGTTTTCCATAGTCATTTGCCTTTTAATTTTGTTAATGTATTTTTAAATTTATTTATTTTATTATTTTTGGCTGCGTTGTGTCTTGGTTGCTGCACTTGGGCCGCATGTGGGATCTTCCTGGACCAGGACTCGAACCCGTGTCCCCTGCATTGGCAGGCGGATTCTTAACCACTGCACCACCAGGGAAGCCCTATTAATGTATTTTTAAATAGAGAAAACAATAATCTATATGTAGTTTAGTTTGTTAAATTTGTCTTTGGTGATTTTTTTTTCCTTTGCTTTTTATTCTTAGAAAGCCCTTCTCCACCCTGAAATTCGCTATATGGTAAGAATGTAACTTGACTTCTCCCCTTTCCCAACACTTAGCCAATTTTCCTAACATTGTTTATTGAATTGTTCCTTCACCAGTTTGGGGTGTTTTCCTTATTTCATATTAAATTATTTAATACCTGAGCCTATTTAACAGCTGTTAAATCTATTTTGAAAATAGTGTGGTAGTTCTGAGACAGAATGTTAAATCTTTACTTCCATTCCTAGCTGTACAAACCCAGGCAAAAGTCACTCGGAGCCTCAATTTACTCGTCTGTAAAAGAGGCAATAAAACCTACTTCACAGAGTTATTTGGGGATTGAATGAAATAATATTTGTAATAAGCTTATCATATTGTAAGCACTCAATAAGTGGCAGATATCATAATTATTATTATTCTATTAATATTTTTCTAATTCTGTTATATTCCATTGAAATGTTATTCTACTTCAGCTGTGCAAGTGAGTTTAAATAAATCATTGTAAGAATGCGTGGCAATGTGATAGAGCTGTTCCCATGTCCCTGGAGGTTTGCTTGTATTTTCATAATTCGTCACTGTGATCAAAGCAATCAATGATAAATTTTTCTACATAGTTAACATCACTAGGTCCTATGTATATAGAACTCAGTTGTCACAACAAAACATTTTTATTTTATTTCTTAGTGTCACTAAACTATGTTTAAATACAATGTTAAGTTTTCTTGAGATCTGACGACCAGCGGACAATAAATAACATTGCTTTGGTATTTTTTGTCGCTGTGGGAGATAGAATGATTAGCAATGTCAGGGAACACAAGTGGGGAGAGATCAGCATGGGTTTTCTTCTGAGCCTCTAAACAAGATCTAAGAAGAAACTTGTATTTCTCAAGTCTCTAGACAAGAATTCCTATCTACCCCCATCTATCATAGAATGAAATTTAGTTAAATTAGACTCATTCAGTTAGTTAACGTGATGATATTGTTGTCTTATTCAAGGATGAAACTGTATAGTGATAAGCAGACTAAAACTATGCAGAAAACAAACAAGAAAGTCTTACGCACAAATTAAAAGAACAGTAAGATATATTTTTGGTTGACTGAGATTGTCAAACAGTTTAACAAATTGAAAATACTCAGCGTTGGCAAGGCTGCAGGAAAAAGAACATTCTTGTCTCTCTACAGAACCATTTGGCAACGTGTGACAAAATTTTAAATAAGCACTTTTTACTCAGTAAATCTTCTGTGATATTTTTCATAAGGATATAAATAGACAAAAGTATAAAGACATATGTACAAAAATGTTCACTATAATGTTGTTTATAAAAAGCAAAGTGTTAAGAAACAAAAAGTCCTGGGACTTCCCTGGCAGTCCAGTGGTTAAGACTTCCACTGCAGGGGTCGTGGGTTTGATCCCTGGTTGGGGAACTAAACTCTCACATGCTGCATGGTGTGGCCCCCAAAAAAAAAAAAAAAAAAAAAAAAGAAGAAGAAGAAAGAAAGAAACAAAAAGTCTAAATGTCCATCAGTAGGAAACTGGTTTAAGAAATCATTGGGTATATGAGAGAATACTCTGTAAAAATAGTGCCTCTCTGTATTTGTTACCATGGAAAGATGGTCACATTGTTGAATTAGCACCATTCCAAAACAGCAATATGTAGTATTGAGGAACAAAAGTTGGGAGAAAGAACGGGAGAGACAGAGAGAGAAAGACAGAGAGATCTGTAAGGATGTCTCCTGAAATGTTAATAGAAAATATGCCTAGGACGAGAGATTTCAGGTGATTTATACTTTCTCCTTTATATTCTTCTGGATTGCTTTAATTTTTACAATAAATATTTAGTTTGGTTTAGAAAAACAGAACACAACAAAAACACTATGCAAAGAGTAAAAGAATGAAGGAAATAACCCTGTGTTAATCGTAGTTGTCTCTGGTCTTTAAGAAGCGAGACCAAGGTTTCCTTTCTACTTTCCCCCATTTTCCAAATTGTCTTTTATTGAGGATGATTATTTTTATTGAGTATTATATATCATGATGATGATGATAATCTGACAGACACACGAGACCCACAACCTTTCCTCCTGGTTCCCGGGAAAGACTCCTCTGTAGTTGGAGGGTCAAAGGCTGCCGTTATTAATGACTTAGCCATGCAGAGTGGAGGCTCATTTGCCTTCTGCCTTAGATCTCAAGGTCCTCTTAGATCTTTATGAGTCCCCTCAGCTGGTTTATGCTGGCTTTTCAAGTGGTCAACATTTATGCCCACTTTTGTTTGTTTGTATGTTTTGACCTAATATTTTTTTAATTAAAAAATTAATGGGGGGCTTCCCTGGTGGCACAGTGGTTAAGAATATGCCTGCCAATGCAGGGAACATGGGTTCAAATCCTGTTCCAGGAAGATCCCACATGCTGTGGAGCAGCTAAGGCCGTGCACCTCAACTACTGAGCCTGTGCTCTAGAGCCTGCGAGCCACAACTACTGAAGCCCGTGTGCCTAGAGCCCATGCTCCGCAACAAGAGAAGCCACTGCAGTAAGCCCACGCACCGCAACAAAGAGTAGCCCCTGCTCACCATAACTAAGGAAAGCCCACACGCAGCAACAAAGACCCAATGCAGCAAAAAATAAATAAATAAATAAATTTATTTATTTATTTATTTATTTTTAAAAAATTAATGTATTTTTAGTGGATAAGATTTTGAAAGTTAAAGTATAAAGAAGCAGGGAAAACTATCTATAATCCCATCATTGAAATAAAGAGCTGTTAATCTTGTGAACATCTTTCTTTTTAATCATGTCTTAATATACAACTGTGTACCTGCTTTTTCCAGTTATCATAGTGAGTGTTTCCCTGTATCATTGAAAACTCCTAAATCTATTTTAATGGTCCACACCCAATTTTTAAAAAGCATTCATTTATCCCTATATAATTTCAAACTGAAGAACATTTATATGCTCAAAATAAGTTCATTACAAGAGCCATAAGCAAGATTCCTTCCCAGGGTTAGAGCCTAGATCTGGTCCTTACCAATAATTGCAACTCCTTCATAACCTTAATTTCAAACATCCCCTCTGATCACCCTACTCCAACAGTCTGCTGACCTCACTGGGATGAATGACCCATTGATCTACTTTTTCATTGTTACCTGCCTTAGGCCCTCATTTCCCTTCTTATCCAGACAAATGTCTATGGTCAATTATTTCAATCACTCCCTTGCACACACTCTCATATCCGTCCTCCTCTTTTTCTAGCTGAGCCTCAACCTTGGTTAAACCCAACTCTTCACCTACTCTGCACCTCCCCACCTGCAGCCAAATGTCCAAGCCCTATTTTTAATGCTGTCTTTAAAGACATGCTGTAAGGGTGGGAGGGAGGGAGATGCAAGAGGGAAGAGATATGGGGACATATGTATATGTATAACTGATTCATTTTGTTACAAAGCAGAAACTAATGCACCATTGTAAAGCAATTATACTCCAATAAAGTTTTTTTTTTTTTTTTAAAAGACATGCTCTAAGCATTTATTCTCCTTTTTCATTTTCCTTTGGGGACCCTATTTGGTGACCACACAGCTGCTATATAGCTGTTCCGCTCTTGCCCATCCATCCTCCACCAATCCAACTCACTGGCCTAACCTGCACTCCCTCTCAGCTGCTTTTCCCAGAATCTTTTCTCTTCCCAGCTTTCTGACCTCTCTGTTGACTTCTGTTTGTTCTCTCTCCCTTCTCTACCCACCTACCTCTTTGTGCAACCCCCAAAAGAAACACAGAAGGAATAGCCCGAAATGAATTAGCCATGGGGGGTAGCACCTGGAGCCTCAGGTTCCTGTCCTTCTAGGGGGCAGAGTGACCTTGGGCCAGTCACTTCATTCTCTGGTTCTTAGTTTCCTCCCTATATAATGACACACATTTGGTTACATAAATGTGGAGATGATTTAACCCAGTTCTTACACACAAACAAACATGATTCTGAAAATTGAAGAAAGGAAAAATTTAGCAAACAGTCCCACTACCTTACTTTCCTCCCTGTACCATCCTACATCCATCACCAAGATAATGGCAACCATCTGGTGAGTATTATTATTGTAATTTTAGTGCTGAAACTTTCCTTGGCCCATCCATGCATCCCACCCAGTAACCATAACGGAAATCCAAACACTCACCGTGAATTTCTCATAGAGCTCATAAGTCAGGAGGGGGTTGGGTAGCTCCCTAAAGTAGAGCTTGCAGAGGGAGCCCACACAGTGGATGTCCTGGAGGTACACTTCCCTTGTCAGATCTGGACATTGATCTGAGCCAAACTCTTGCCTGAAACAACACAGACAGAGACATAACAATCCCAGGAACATGTGATCTATGTCAGCAGCTACTTGGCTGCTTAGGGGGTAAAAAGACCCTAAACTGCTGATTTGACCATATTTTTGACCTTGATTCAAAAAGACCTTCTATTTCAGGCACAAGGAAGCTATAGGAAAGATTTCCACTTCAGGTCTGGATCTTCCCTGCAGAAGCTGCTGTAATTAGAAAGACATAATCCCATTTACAAATGGATTTCTCATGGCATTATGTCTGTAGTCTCAATTATGAACAGTGGGGAAATATGAAAACAATTTTCCAAGAACCCTGTTGAGAGTTCAGTTTTTCCAAAATATTGTTTTAAATGAACTTCTCTTTCTTGGAGGAGAGACCAAAACCAGGGTGAGTCAGATTGTTATCATTCACGTCCACATATTCATGTCAGCAAACTTGTTTTATCTGGAGACTCAAACTCAAGGTTTGAGAACTTCAATCAACTCTCCCTTTGATGCTGAATGGAAACTTCTAGGCTGCTTGATAGTGACCCTCACAGGACAAATGAGCTTACAAATATCTTCTTAAGCAACCTATAGTGGGGTGCTTGGGAGCATCCTCAGATTCCAGGCCTCATTTCTAATTAAAAAAACATTTACTAACAAGGTTACATGAATATACTACCTCAAATAATATATACTTACAAGTTAAGAATCTATTTAGGGCTCCCCTGGTGGCTCAGTGGTTGGGAGTCCGCCTGCCAATGCAGGGTACGCGGGTTTGAGCCCTGGTCCGGGAAGATCCCACGTGCCGCGGAGCAACTAGGCCCATGCGCCACAGCTGATGAGCCTGCGCTCTGGAGCTCATGAGCCACACCCACTGGGGCCCGCGCGCCTAGAGCCTGAGCTTCGCAGCAAGAGAAGCCCGGGCACAGCAACGGGGAGTGGCCCCCGCTCGCCACAGCTAGAGAAAGCCTCGTGCAGCAACGAAGACCCCAATGCAGCCAAAAATAAATAATAAATAAATTTATTTTAAAATATATATTTAAAAGATGATAAATCTGAGCTTTAATGCAGAAGAGAAGTTAGCTTTCTTGAGAGTATTCATTTGGTCAAACATGTAGTGACAAAGTCAACCAGACTCTCAGAACCAGCATCTTGAAACAGCTTGCTGCCCATTCTCCTGTAGTCGGGTTCTGCCCCTTTAATAAAGGGAAGGGAAATCCCTGATGCTGTCAGAACCTGACAGGAACTGAGTGAGGCCTTGAAAAGCAAACCATGCAATGGCCTCAAATTCATAGGCATGTGTTTTTCTTACGAGGGCAGAACACAAACAATCTAGAGCTTATTTAGTTAGCCAGAAATTTCCCTTGTCAAGGCTAAGGTCAGTCCTTAAGTGAAAAAGAATTGGCCATTGTCCAAATGTCCTTCCATGATACCAGCTACTGTGTAAGTATGTTTCAGAGCTAAGAGTAAACTGTTAAAAATACTTGCTGTTGAAACTCTGAAAAATGTCACATGAACAAATTAGTGAAATGATGTAAGCACAGAGATCTGTTAAAAACCTTTGGCTGCAATAAACCAGTTATTTTTTAACAGCTATCACTTCTCTGGGAGTAAAAAAATGTTTTATTCCTTTGGTATAGTTTCATGACAATTGAGATTTGAGGACGAGGGGCAGAAAACTAAGTAGGAGGAAGAAAATAAAAAAATGAATTCCCTGCACGTGTAAATTTTACATATTAATCTTGTAACAAGAATGTTTTATTTGAAAAGTCTACATTTGTAACTAAAGAATATATAATAAATACATTAAAATATGTTCTTTTTGTATTAAAGAACAATATTCAAAATACATAAAACTTTTCATCATGGAACAGTACATATATTATATATAATGTATATATTCTATATATACACTATAGACACTCCCTTTATTTTACAGATATAATACATATAAAGAAGATTACTGTCCTCTTAATTCATTGTGATAGAAATTTCTTCCAAAAAATTCTAGGATGCATTTTAGAATTGTTTAGGATAAATCCATAGAATTGGAAATAGTTCCTCTATCAATAATTTTAAAAATACAGGCATCAATTAGAGAAATGCACAATCATGCAGACTTCTGATTTCTTGACCAGATGAAATATCAAATGTTGAGTGTGTGACAACAGAAAAACTCACGATGACCTGCAAGTTCTGAATACCATGTAATGGGGATCTGAGCTGTGGGTAGGCAAGTGAGTAATAATAAATCATTTTTTCCCAACTTGCAATTTAAATCATTTGAGTTCAACTGAATCTACCTAAGACGGATAAATCTGGTGCAAGACATAGGAACAGATGAAAAGCCCTCAGGAGTTTTTGTTGGAAAGAATTACATCAGATTGGTGAGCTTCCTGATTAGATTAAGAAGAGTTAGGCATCTGAAAACATCAGCACTTGATCTTCGGCCCTGCCATCCTTCCCTCAATCCCTTCAGTTTTTAATACCTCCAACACCTGCAGATAGAGGTATGGACAGAGGAAGGATCATGGAAGAATCCTTTGGGGGGCTATTCTTTGGCTTACCTTAGCCGTTGTATGTTTGAGGTGACTCCTGAAAGCCGATAAATTCCATCCACAATGCCGTGAGTCTCTATAAATTCTGCACAGCTCTTCAATACATATGGAACTATGTAAAGGAAAAGAAAAAATAAAGTATAAGGTATAAGTCTGACTGTCTTTTAAAGATAGCCTTTTAAAAATCGAGGTAACTTCAAAGAGAAGTATGGAATGCATATGAGCTACAAGTGGAAACAATTACTTGTAAATGGTAGATGATGTTCTTTGATATTTAAAAAAAAATCATAGGGTTTTGTTAAAGTTTAGAAAACCCATGTGTTTTAAAAGTTAGGTCTTTTTTTTTTAAGAATTTGTAAAATATGCTAATACTTAGATTTTTGAAACCAGCAGTGACCTTGGAAATCCCCCAACACAATCTCCTCATGTTACTGTTTCTCCCAGTGTGGTCCCCTAACCAGTAGCACCAGCACCTCCTGGGAACCTGTTGGGAATGCAAATTCCCAGGCCCCACTCACACCCACTGAATCAGAAATACTGGAGGTGGCGCCCAGCAATCTGTGTTTTAAAAAGCCTTCTAGGTGACTGTTGTGAGATAAAATTAGAGAACTCTTGCCTAGTCTACACATGAAGAAACCAAGGGGCAGGTAAATTTATTTACCTCACTCAAGAGTACTTGTTGCTTATGAAAAGTGATTTAACACGTGGAAAAATGCTTATGATGTAGGTAGGTAAAACAAGAACAAGGCACAAAATCAAATATACCCTGTGAATTCAGCTATGTTTAAAAACCTGCAAAGGGAAAAAAGACTGGAAGAATATCTGCCAAAATGTTAAAAGGTGATTTAAAGGTGTTAAGTGTGTTTTTTAAAGGTGAGAACCTCCCCCTCCCCCCCCACCCCGCCAGCACCACCACTCAATGGGTCAAACCAGTCATTGATAGAATGGACCTCATATAAGGGAACAACACGGCCTCTCAAATTCCTGCCACTCTAGAAGTCCAGTGCCTGGGTAGAAGGGTCTGGCTAAGCTGTTCTCTCCTCGGGGCTGAACCTGATCAGCCCAGCCAGCTCAGTGACCCAGAATGGCAGCCACAGGCCTTCTGGATGGCGTGGAGAGAGTGGCACTTGCCACTTTGGTCCTTGGGCAGATCCACCGGAGGTCCCTCTGTGAGAGTGTTGTAGATGGTCTGGAACTACCAAAGCCTTGGGTGCTGAAGTCCTCAGGCACAGAGGTGGTACGGGAACTCCATGAACCAGGGCTTGGGTTAGCACTGTGCTCACTCCTCCAAAACATACTCAGTCCATTAATGCCTTGGATTAGACTAAAGCCAATCCATTAATGCTTACTGCACATGATCATACCCACACACAATACTAAGCTGGACTGGACCTTTACGTGGGTAGATACTAGGTGTTCAGGCTCAACATTCTTCCAGAATTCTCTATGACAATACTTTCTAAACAACTTCCCCATCATTTCCTTCAACCACTAACTATCATTTTAGGTGCTGAGTAAAATTCATCATACTTAAAGTATTCCACCCACCTCTCAAAGGCTGTGCATCCCCAGAGCCTTTCTTCTCCAGGACACATCCATGTTTTGCCCCTTTCATTCATGACCAACTGGTGAGAAGCTTCTTAGTTACCCAAGGTGGAAAGAGGGCAGGAAGTGAACTTGGGATTGGAAATATTGAGGTCAGAGACCACAGAGGTGGAACTATTCCCTGTGAGTGAATACAGGGTAGGAGTGGGTGTGGTGGAGGAGGGGCTGTGAGTGTGGGCAGGGGTCCAGAGCCCCTGCCTGGCTTCAGTTAGAAAAGCTACACTTTGATCTATTTTATGAAATAGGGTTCTTGGTGAGAACCCTATTTATGCCTCATGCCTCTAAATAAATTTTATAAATAAAGAAATAAGCAAACAGAGTTCCCATGCTTAAAAAAGTTGTATTGTTTAAAAGAAAAAAAATCCCTATTGTGCCAGTAGGTCG